ATGGCAGCTGGTTGTTTCAAATCCTTAAACTTGACCAAAATGGTTTGCTTTGTCATTTCCCCAGGGGTTGACCCTACATGGGTTAGCATTATGATCTGGTTCTCAGCCTTCTGCTTTAGAAACATCTGAGCGGAGAATGGAGGGAGGCAGCTTGGGTTTCCCGCCTGTGTGCATTATCCGGGAACACAGACTCCACCTCATGATTGGCTCTGATGGAGATACCACCAGATGCCACCTCTCATTTTGTTCCCCAATGGGTTGGGTTTTTTTTTAAGTTATTTTGAGAATCTCAATGTGTTGCCCAGGCTGGTCTCAAACTCCAAGCAACCCTCTCGCCTCAGCCGCCTGAGGAGCTGAGACTACAGGCGCTGAGACTACACTGCCACGCCCAGCTGGATTTGGCTTTAAGTACATTGGGAAGCCATTGAAGGCTTTTGTTACACACAGCTGAGTATACATGTCTGGCCGAGGACTGAGGGCTTTTTTGAAGCCTGAGATGCATAAAATGTGGAGATTGTGGGGACATCATGTTCTAGATAAGGAGGTAGATACAAGGGAAGAGCTTAGACTTGGCAAGGTGAGTGGAATAGGGTGGACAGGCCTGAAATAGAGTTTGAGATTTACAAAGACTAGGATTTGAACCCTGGGTAATGAATTGTGTGATTTGGATAAGTTCCTTAAACTGCGTTCTAGGAGTAAGTTGTATTCTAAAAATATTTCTTAAAGTTCGATAACCTAACAAGTTTGGGAACCACTGGGCTAAACAGAGCTAAATCTGTTTCACTTTTGGGCTTCTCAGGTTGTGAGATATCTTAATGATATGCTAATGTATGTTACCATCCAGGAGGAACACGCAGTGTTTCCTAAACGTAAAACCTCAATTAGCCAGGAGTGGTGGAATGCACCTATAGTCCTGGTTACTTGGCGGGGCTGAGGTGGGAGGATTTCTTGAGCCTGGAAGATAAAGACTGTAGTGAGCCACAATCATGCCACTGCACTTCAGCCTGGGTGACAGTGAGACTGTCTCTAAAAAACCCTCACAAAACCCTAGAACATAGCACTGCCTGCGTCTCCATTTTCTCATTAAATAAGAAAAACGCACCCTGGGCCACATGGCAAGACCTGGTCTCTACAAATAATTTTAAAATATTTGGCAGACATGGTGGTGCACACCTATAGTCCTAGCTCCTCAGGAGGCTGAGGCAGGAGAACCGCTTGAGCCCAGGAGATCAAGGCTGCTCTGAGCTGTGATCGAGTTGCTGCAAGATGGAATGAGATGAAGGGGTCTGGAAAGTGCTACACCCAGTGCCTTACCCATGACAGATGCCCAGTAAATGGTGGGTCCCCTCCCCATCTAAGGAAAAACTGACAAGAACTTTTGCCCCTTCTCTGCTCTCCACAGGCGGCTGAGTGACAGCCCCTCGGTGAAAAAGGAGGGCGAGCTGCCTCGCAGGGTGAACTCTGCCTCCTCCTCCAATCCCCCTGCCGAAGTGGACCCTGACACCATCCTGAAGGCGCTCTTCAAGTCCTCAGGGGCCTCTGTGACCACGCAGCCCACAGAATTCAAAATCAAGCTTTGAGCAGGGGAGTGAGGCAGCCAGAAGTGGGGGCAGAGGAGGGTGGCTCTGTTTCCCCAAGGCAAAGCTTGTGACCAATGGGCCATCGGACTGGAGACCCCTGAGCGTGGGCAGGGTCGCCGGGGGTAAAGCGCCTCCTCACTGGATGGGACCCGCATTTCTGTGTTGTGTTCTGCCCCGTGCTCTTCTCTGTTAACATTTCCTGTAGTATGTTTCTTCTCCATCTCATTGCCAAGGTAGGCTTGTGTTTTTCAGAGCGTGCCTCCCCCAGCCCCAGCCGCAAGTGGATTTTTTATTTGGAAATGGTACACTAAATTCTCTGGGTGGCTTTCTTGTGGCCCCATAGGATGCAGGGCAGGGGCTGTCTGAAGGACCCTGGTTTTTCCAGGGGCCACGGGGCTGCCTTTCCTTTATGTACGTTAAGCTTTTCAAATAACACGGGTTGGAAAGCTCTGCCATCCTGACGGGAACCAGTTCGGCCTGAGAGCTGTGCCGCTCCTCTGCCTGGTCAGTGGAGATGCCTGGGTGGGGAGCAGTTCTCAGGCCTCTTGTCCTCTCCACATTAGCTCCAGGCCTCACTAGTGGCAAGGGCAGGATGAAGCTGCACCACCGCGAAGAGTCTGTCCAGTAATGTGCTTGGCTTGGAGACCCACACTGCAGCTGCCCAGAGGTCGTTCTCCAGAGTTCACCTTGCCCTTGAGTTGTGCTGAATGCCCCACCCCAGGTCTTTTTCCCTTCTGGGTGTCAGTGCTGGGAAGGGGGTTTTGTTATGAGCCCTCTCGGTTCTCACCTAGCCTGGCACTCATCACACCCTGGTTTTGGTGCAGCTGCCAGCTCTCCTCTGGTTGGACCTTTCAAAGGCTCCACCTCCCATTCTGCAACCCTGGGTCGGGGTGGGGTTGGGGCTTATTTGAATGCGAGAGGTTGGTTTGCTCCTGGCTCTCCATTTCTAGCCTCAGTTGTCTACAGGACAGTGGTCAGGGATGCCCAGAGGCATATATCTAGCTGCCCCTCAGCATTCCCACTTTTGTGAGTGACCCATCCGTCCATGACCAGAGGGATATTTTTCTGCCTTGGCACAGGAGGAGGAGTCAAGGGAACAAGACAACTCTACTAGGCAAGCTGTTTCCCCAGCATAGGTGCCAGCAGTGGGCACAAAGCTATAGAGCCCAAGGGCTGTCCCTAAATTACCAGGAGAGTGTTGCCCCTGGTGTCACTGAGTGGTCCCCTGCTGGTTGGAACTGAAGGGAATCCAGGTTGGCAGAGCAGGAGGGAAGCAGGATTCTCGGAGCTCTGCAGATTCAGTTGCAAGTACTGGGAAAGGTGCATGCTGGAGACAGAGTGCCCAAGACTTGCTTGAGGCTAGCCCAGTGAAGAAAAACCCAGAAATTCATTTTCCAGAGGTCAGTCTGTCAGGCAGGAAGGACCTAGGGTTTGAACCCAGCTACAATCCTCAGGCTCTGAGGTTCCCCAGGCCAGGAAAGGCCAAGGAAGGGGCCTGGTGGTGCTCCACTTCCAGTTCTTTAAAGATGCTGCTTTTTATTCTCTTAATCCCTTCAAGTGGGTGCAGACTGACTTCTTGTTAACAGCTGGAAGACATTCCTCCTACACTTTACCCTTTCTGGCCCAAGAGAGCACCCAGAAGGCAGTAGGACCTGGCTTTTCAGGTACTGGGAACGGGGCTCACTGCTTGGACTTTGCTTAGGGTTGGGATGGTAAATATCCTGCCACGAGGCTTTACCCTCCCCTCTAGTCCCAAAGCTGATACATTCTGGTTGTCACAGTTTCATTGAGCCCAGCTGCAGCCATCTGGAGCTGGTGCTGTAGGTGATTATCTGGTACATTGAGGGGACCTGTTTGCCGCCTCCACTGTATAAGCTGTCACCTTGGGAGACAGGGAAGAAAAGGTGGTGGGCCAGTCCTGTGTCCTCCTCCATCTCCACTTCCCATGCCCCTGCGTTACCCATCTGTTTCTTGTGCAAAAAGAGAGGAAGAGGCATTAAGGGATGAAGGGTGATTATGTATTACTTATCCATTTCTGAATAAACATTTGTTATTCCTACCTTTGAGTTGTCTTTTTTCTTTTCTTTTTTGAGACGGAGTTTCGCTCTTGTTGACCAGGCTGGAGTTCAATGGCGCGATCTCGGCTCACCACAACCTCCACCTCCTGGGTTCAAGTGATTCTCCTGCCTCAGCCTCCCGAGTAGCTGGGATTACAGGCATGTGCCACCACACCTGCCTAATTTTTTGTATTTTTAGTAGAGATGGGGTTTCTCCATGTGGGTTCAGGCTGGCCTTGAACTCCCAACCTCAGGTGATCTGCCTGCCTTGGCCCCCCGAAGTGCAGGGATTACAGGCATGAGCCACCACACCCGGCCTTTTTGATTTTTCTTTTTTTGAGACAGAGTCTCATCTGTTGCCCAGGTTGGAGTGTAGTGGCACAGTCTCGGCTCACTGCAACCTCCTCCCAAACTCAGACAATCTTCCCACCTCAGCCTCCTGATTAGCTGGGACTACAGGCAAGTGTCACTACACCTGGCTAATTTTTGTAGAGATGGGGTTTAACCATGTTACCGAGAGTGGTCTTGAACTTCTGACCTTGGTGGTCTGCCTGCTTCAGCCTCCCTAAGTGTTGGAATTACAGGCGTGAGCCAGCATGCCCAGCCAAGGGTTTTGATCTTTAGGGATTTCAACATTTGGGGTGCAATTTATTATTTAAAAAATAGAGAGGTTCTTGCTATGATGCCAGGATGGTCTTGAACTCCTGGGCCCAAGTGATCTGAGCCACTGCTCTCCACCAGGGATGCAGATTATATGAAATTCCCCTCTTTAGAAGGTGGGGTCCTGATTCCAAGTGGGCTCTGTTACTAATGGCAGCTGCTGATGGAAAAATCGCAACCCCTCACCCAGTTTCTAGGCCTAAGCCAGGCCTCAGACCCAGAGGCCACTGATTGAAAGGGAGGCTGGAGTGCAGTGGGGCAATCTCGGCTCACTGCAGTCTTCACCTCCAGGGTTCAAGCGATTGTCTTGCCTTAACCTCCCCAGTATCTGGAATTACAGGCGTGCGCTACCACGCTGGGCTAATTTTTGTACTTAGAGATGGGGTTTCACCACGTTGGCCAGGCTGGTCTGGAACTCCTGACCTCGTGATCTGCCCCTCTTGGCCTCCCAAATTGCTGGGATTACAGACATGAACCACCGCACCTGGCCCCTCTGAAAACTTTAGTCTATCCATGGCCGGTTCCGGGTGTCTTGCTCCAGGCCTGACATCTGTGATGTTCAGTCTCTTATCTAACCACCCACCTGACATCTCCCCCGGGTGGCCTAATGGGCATCTCCATATGGCCCACAGAGAACTGATCTACTCGATTTCCCCAAGCTGGCCTCTCCTGTGGTCTTCTCGCCTCAGTCGGCAACGTCATCCTCTTAGTTGCTCCAGACTGAAAACCTAGGAGCCTTCCTGGATTTCTCTTACACTGCCTATTTAGTGTGTGAATGCATGAGTGGAAAGTTGAGTTCGCACTTGTGACTGACTGGGGTCAACGCCCACATTCGCTCCTACTTTGCGCGCGCTGCGGATGAAGATTGGGCCCTGGTGGCCGGGGCCGGGGAGGCGGGCCTGGAGCCAGGGGGCGGGGCAGGCGGCATGGAAGTGCGCTCGCGCCGGCGCGGAACCACAACTCCCGGCGGCCCCCGCGCTCCCGGGCGGCAAGATGGTGGCGCGCAGGAGGAAGCGCGCGGCGCAGGACTCTGAGGACCGAATCCCGAGCCCTCCCGGCTATGCAGGTAAGGGGTTTGGGGACGCGAGACTGGGGAAGGTCAGGCATCGCCGGGAGGTGTTTGGGGGGTTGGCGGCGGCCAGGAGCGGCCGTACGGTTGGGTGTGAGCCCCGGCGTCCCCTGGTCCCAGGCTTGGCAGGTTGTGAGGCCCGCGCGGGGCCCGAGGACCCACGCGGCGCCCTTCGGTATGCCCACTCTCCCGGAGCGAGCCCGTCTTGGTTCACGCTTCTCTTGGGTGAGCCCACTCCTGCCCACAGTCACACCCAGGGCAAACCTGTCTCTGTCCACACCCGCTTGTCCAGGTGAGCCCATCCTCTTCTCGCCTCTACTCTTAGTCCAGCCCCCATGAGCTCTTACCTGGGCTCTTATGGGCCTTCCTACTTGCTTGCCCTTCTTTTCCTCTTGCCCCTGTTTCTGTTCTCCACCCAGGTGCCAGAATATTTTTAAAGGGCATTTAAATTAGATCGTGCCTCACACTCCCACGATAGCCCCCACACCCACTGCATTTCCTCCAGTGGCTTTATAAGGTAACTCTAAAACAGGAACCAGACTTCTAACTCTGCGTGGCCCACGTGGTCTGGCTGATGCTGACCTAAAGTTCTTTCTGTTCCTTTAAGGCAACATGCTTTTTCCTCTTCTGGATTTTTGCACGTGCTGTGCCAGTTTGTTGCACAGTGGCCTTCTAGTCTGAGTTTTAATGTTGCTTCCTCAAAGAGGCCATCCCTGATGGCCTATGGAAAGACGACCTCTGCCACCCTTTCACCCTGTATGTTTCTTTCATTACTGATACAAGCTTTCTGTGTGCTTATTATTAGTCTTCTCTATTATTGCAACTGAGCTTCCTGGGTTCAGGGACTGAAGCTCTATCCCAAACAGTAGTCTGAGGGAGGTGTGAGAAAAATAGCAGTTTCCAGCTTTATGAGGATTACAGTCATGAGTGTGCCAACAAGTAACCAAAGAATCCCATCAGTATAGCCTACAGACTGGTAGAGAAGCTGTGAAGGCACAGGCACACCTGGCAGGAGGGGCTGGGGGAGATGCTGAGGCTCCCTTGAGAAGAGAGTCAGTTTGAGCTAAACCTGAAGGTTAGGGGGAGGGAAGAAGGCGACGTGCCAGGTAGAGACACCAGCGTGTGTGAGGCGCTGGTATACCCATGGGGAACAGGGAGAATCCAAGGTGGTGGGGGAAGGTGGTATGAGAAGAGGCCACAGTGGCAGGCAGGGTCTCACGGGGCTTCCAGCCATGGTTAGGATTTGGTGTTCACTCCAAGAGCCGCAGGGTTTGAGCTTCCCTCTCATTGTGCCGCCATCTGTAATCATTGCCCATTTATCTTCTCTCTCCCCACACCAGCTTGGGAGGCCCTCCTGGGCAGACTCTGACAGCCTGCACAGGCTTAGCTGAAGGGTAGCGTAGGGGGTCGGTGAAGGGACGGATGGATCAGTGAGCAGATGGGACTAGACAGGGATGTGGACAAAGGAAGTTGTGTGAATGTCTTGCTGAACTCAGCTATTGGGTAGTCTCATTCCAGCAATGAGAGTATGTCTCAAAAAAAAAAGAGAAAGTATAATCTTAAGTAGCCCAAAGCTTTTTTATATATTACCCAAAGTTGTTTGAATTACATGTTTTCTTACAAATTATACATGTCCATAATTTAAAAGTAGGAAAGTATAAGAAAATAAGGAAGTTGTGTGAATGTCTCACTGACCTCAGCTAATTCCTCCCCTCCAATTTTCTTTCCAGCTATTCCAATCAAGTTCTCCGAAAAGCAGCAGGCTTCTCACTACCTGTATGTGAGAGCACACAGCGTTCGAGAAGGCACCAAGTCCACCTGGCCTCAGAAGAGAACTCTTTTTGTCCTCAATGTGCCCCCATACTGTACAGAGGTGAGCTGGTGTTTGGGAGGAGACCTGTGGGCTCAAGGTGGGGGCTCCCATGGCCTCCACGAAGTCCTTAGTGGTGACACAGACACAGCTAATTGGAGCTCCAGAGGAGAGTGTCAGGAGGGCTACCGTGATCTCAAGTCAGGAACCTGGCTTTTCAAAGATGTCTTTAGAAGTATAATCCTGCCAGGCACGGCGGCTCATACCTGTAATCCCAGCACTTTGGGAGGCTGAGCCAGGTGGATCACCTGAAGTCAGGAGTTCAAGACCATCCTGGCCAATGTGGTGAAACCCCATCTCTACTAAAAAATACAAAAAATTAGCCCAGCATGGTGGCATGCGCCAGTAGTCCTGGCTATTCCAGAGGCTGAGGCTTGAGAATCCCTTGAACCCAGGAGGCGGAGGTTGCAGTAAGCCAAGATCGCACCACTGCACTCCAGCCTGGGCGACAGAGTTAAGACTCCGTCTCAAAAAAAAAACAAAAAAAAAATTGGCCAGGCGTAGTGGCTCACACCTGTAATCCCAGCACTTTGGGAGGCCAAGGCAGGTGGATCACGAGGTCAGGAGTTCGAGACCAGCCTGGCCAATATGGTGAAACCTGTCTACTAAAAAAAGGCAAAAATTATTTGGGCATGGTGGCATGCGCCTGTAATCCCAGCTACTCAGGAGGCTGAGGCAGGAAAATTGCATGAACCTGGGAGGCAGAGGTTGTAGTGAGCCAGTATCGTGCCACTGCACTCCAGCCTGGGCAATAGTGACACTCTGTCTTAAAAAAAAAAAAAAAAGTATAATCTTAAGCAGCCCAAAGTTGTTTGAATTACATTTTTTTTTTTTCAGGTTATACATGTCCATAATTTAAAAGTAGTAAAGTATAATAAAAAATGCCCCTAATTCTATCCAAACGCAATTTTTTTCACAGAAACTAAACTAAGGGAATTGCTGGATTTTCTTTCCTTTTTTTGAGACGGGAGTCTCTGTTGCCCAGGCTGGAGTGCAGTGATCGTGGCTCACTGCAACCTCCACCTCCCGGGTTCAAGTGATTCTCCTGCCTCAGCCTCCCAGGCAGCTGGGACTACAGGCGCCTGCCACCATGCCTGGTTAATTTTTGTATTTTTAGTAGAGATGAGGTTTCACCATGCTGGCCGGTTGGTCTCAAACTACTGACCTGAAGTAATCCACCCACCTCGGCTTCCCAAAGTCCTGAGATTACAGGTGTGAGCCACTGCGCCCAGCCAAGGGAATTGCTAGATTTTAGATGACTTTTTTTTTTTCCCCCAAAGGAAACCCTAATTTATAAAAGATTTCTCTAAACTTAGAGAAAAAAAGAAACATGGAGAACAAGGGGTGTTGGTTCTGACCCTAATTGAAGTGCAGCATGTATGCAGGGAAGGTCTCCGGCTGCAGGTTCCAGCTCACTGCACCCCAGAGACAGAATACTCCTGTGTAGTTGGCAGCCAGGTGGAGACACAGCAGTACATCCCAGAAACCCCCTCCTGCCTCTGCGCCACAGATCACCACCATCCTGATTGTCACAGCATAGTCTGACTGCTTCTGGCTCAGGTGGTAAAACTTAGTTGTCGCGTAAAATCAGAATACCAGCGAGAATGTCCCCACCTGTCTTGCATGAGAGAGCGGGAATGGCGGGGCGCGGTGGCTCATGTCTAATCCTAGCACTTTGGGAGGCCGAGGTGGGTGGATCACCTGAGGTCAGGAGTTCAAGACCAGCCTGGCCATTATGGTGAAACCCCATATTTAAAAAAAGCGGGAATATCCAGGGCTGGGTGGCTGACGCCTGTAATCCCAGCATTTGTGGAGGCCAAGGCGGGCAGATCACCTGAGATCTGGAGTTCTAGACCAGCCTGGTCAATGTGGTAAAACCCTGTCTCTACTAAAAATACAAAAATTAGGCTGGTGTGGTGGTGGGCACCTGTAATCCCAGCTACTCAGGAGGCTGAGGCAGGAGAATCACTTGAAACCCAGAGGCAGAGGTTACAGTGAGCTGAGATCACTCTACAGCACTGCAGCCTGAGCTACAGAACAAGACTCCAACTCAAAAAAAGAGCAGGAGTATCTACCTCTTTATTGTCCCTGGGGAACAGGTCAGAGGGCATAGTGCCCACAGGCTCCGGCTGTGGGCAGACATGGCAGTGGCGTGGAGTCCTTCAGGGGCGCTAGAACCCTGGCAGCGCCACCCAGGGTGGAGGGAGGCTTGGGGACGGCCCTGCGGATGCTCACACTCAGCTTCCCTCTCGCCCCGGCAGGAATGCCTGTCGCACCTCCTGTCCTCCTGTGGCCCTGTCCAGTCTGTGGAGTTGCAGGAGAAGCCGGACCCGGCCGAAAGCCCGAAGGAGCCAAGGTCGAAGTTTTTTCATCCCAAGCCAGTTCCGGTGAGCCCCCAAGCACGGGTTCTCTTAGAGTGAGGTGGGTGGGGCATCATCCGAGTGTGTCGGGGGAGCTGGCAGTGGGACGTCAGAGCATTCTCTGTGGTCCTGAGCCCATCCTCACTGTGTGGTCTAGGAGGCTGTCCGGGTGACAAAGCCTGCGATTCCATCCCAGATTTGTCACATCGTTGCATTTCCTGCCTTGCCTTTTCTTTCCCGGTTAAAGCTCAGGGACCATCTCTGCTGGCTGCCTGCAGGGCCTCCGCCAGCTCCCCTCCTGTTTCCCCCACTGAGGGAGCTCCTTCCCTAGGTTCTGGGGCTGGGTCTCCAGGAGCCCTGTTGTTCACAGCTTTCCCGGTGGCCCTGGAGCCCACACCTCCTCCTTGCACAGTGGCATCTGGCATGGTGTGTGCGCCCACACCTGGCTTCCAAAAACCTGCCCTGGCTCAGGGCAACCCCTGCTTTTCACTGCATTCCTCCTGTAACTGGAAGAAAGGAAGCCTGCCTGTCCCCTCTTCCTGGGGAAGAGCTGGGAACAGATGTCACTTCCCACAGAAGGAGGATAACGGGAAGTGTGGCTGCCATGACCTGGATTATGGGATGGCCTGTGGTTCTCTCACAGCTCAGGAATAGCCTAGTACTATCTCCCCTGGTGTAGCCACCAGCTAGGCTGAGGGCAGGCCTGGAGACCTTGTTCCGGACGTGGGAAAGAGCCCCCACCCTCTGACATCTCTCTCCCTCTAGGGGTTCCAGGTAGCCTACGTGGTGTTCCAGAAGCCAGGTGGGGTGTCAGCTGCCTTGGCCCTGAAGGGCCCCCTGCTGGTATCCACAGAGAGCCACCCTGTGAAGAGTGGCATTCACAGTCAGTACCGGAGAAGGGGTCTGGTGCCTCCTTCCTGGGCTCTGGGTTGGTGGGACATTATGGGGACAGTTTTTGAATGTCACAAGCCATATCCATGCTCCCTGAGAGCAGTGTCTAGAGGGCTGGGCAGAAGGGCTGAGAGGCTATGTCTGGGCCCCCAGGGAGTCGTTAGCCTGAGCCCCTGGCACCGAGTGGCTGGGCAGGCAGAGGCAAAGGCCCAGCTTGCAGCCACTGGGATTTCCTTCGCACCTGTGCCCCAGGCCCTGTGTGAAAAAGTCCCGATGTGCCTGAGGGGCCCCAATGCCAGGCCTGAGGAAGCCCGTCTCCTTGGCTCCCTTCTCAGAGTGGATCCGTGACTACGCAGACTCTCTGCCCGACCCTGAGGCCCTGAGGGTGGAGGTGGACACCTTCATGGAGGTGTATGACCAGAAGATTGCTGAGGTAGGGGTTCTAAAGGGATGGCCGGGCGCTGCAGTGCCCATGTGGCTGTGGGAAGGTGACGCCCCAGTAGGAGGGCAGTGGCGGCCTATCCCTGGCCACTCTGTAGAGGCTTAGGCTCCCCTTCATCCCTGCTGGATCCAGGGCTGCCTGGCTGAGTGACATCTAACCTCCACATGGTCGGTAGTGGAGGAGGAGGCAGCGCCAGCAGGTCTGTGCTCTTCCTGCCACCCTCAGCCCCAACGCTGTGCTGGGAGGCAGTGAACAGCCTTGCCCCTGTGGGGGTGTAGCACAGTTCTGACTTTGGGAGGAGGGCATGCTGCTGGAGGCTGCAGGAGGGCCCAGGAGCCTGCTGGACAACAGGGTCACCTTCTGCACAGGAAGAAGCTAAGGCCAAGGGGGAAGAGGGTGTCCCTGACGAGGAGGGCTGGGTGAAGGTGACCCGCTGTGGCCGGAGGCCTGTGCTCCCCCGGACGGAAGCAGCCAGCCTTCGGGTGCTGGAGAGAGAGAGACGGAAGCGCGCCCGGAAGGAGCTGCTCAACTTCTATGCCTGGCAGCACCGCGAGAGCAAGATGGAACGTAAGCCATGCCCCCAGCCCATCCTCAGGCTCCATGGCTTTGGCCCCAGCTGTGGATGAGGCCTGTGGTCAGCACTTCCGAGGGAGGGTGTCCCTATGCACAGGGTCCCCTCCAGGCTCTGTGGAAAGCGGCCCAACCTGGTAGCACCCTGTGTAGTGGCTGGGTCACCCCATCACCCACCAGAGGCAGCTGCATTTGCTCAGTGGGTGGGGACCCCGAGTCCTCAGTGCCCACCTCTGGGCCCCTCTGCACTTAGTGCGGGCGTTTGTCAGTCTCTACCCAACAAAGAGTCCAAGTGCACAAGGCACTTACAGACCTACTGTGGGTGCAGAGAGGGTGCTGCAGACTGTGTGTGGTATGTCAGGTGGCCCTCAGGGGACCCTCCCATGGTTGAATACCTGTGGGCCAGTCCTGGTGCTGCGGCTGAGCCCTCTGTCCCACTGCCTGCAGGACAGCTTCCCTGCGGGTACGGGGACGGGCTCTGCAGCATACCCTGAGCCACCAGCCCAGTCACTCATTGGTGCTTTCCCTGCCTCACTGGCTCTCTTGGCTCCTGCCCGTGCTCACTGTAGACCCTCAGCTGCCCCCTCACCTGGGCCACTAGGTGACCAGAGTTGCCATCTGCATTTACCAGCACTAGGGGTGGAGTCCCTTTACCGATTCCCAGGGTCCCTCCAGGCTGAGTGGTCCTGACTCCTTTCTTCCCCTTGGGCAGGGGCAGGTACGTACCGGGTACCTTTGCTTGGTCACTGGAGCTTCATCTCCAGGCTAGCCCACTTTGGCCTTGGACTTGGCCTGCAGCTGTGTTATTTGCTTAAGGGATCCAGACCCTGCCTCCAAACCAGAGCTGGGAAGGGGGATGGGTTGGTGGGGGGAAGACGTACCCTGAAATAACTGGGAGGAGGGGTGGAACATGAGCAAGCTGGCTCCCCCTGGGGTGTGCTGACCCTGCCCTGTGCTTTTCACCCCCAGATCTAGCACAGCTGCGCAAGAAGTTCGAGGAGGACAAGCAGAGGATCGAGCTGCTTCGGGCCCAGCGCAAATTCCGACCTTACTGAGCTGGGAGAGCCACACCAAAAAGGAACTTGAGGCGAGGTGGGCCCTGGGTTGAGGGCCACTGTGTCCAACAGCCCCGATCAGAGGCCACACAGCTGGGAGTGAAGGACCGTGCCACCCCTCAGGTCTTGTGCTTCAGCAGTCCTGGGGTGTGCCCAGAGGAGGATTTGCCCATTCAGCCTCCATACCCTCCTCTTAAGGACCCTTCTCCCCTTAACCACAATGGAAATGCCCCTGCTGCAGCAAAACAGCCTCAAAAGCAGTGAGAATACCAGCACATCTCGTATTTTCTATCCAGTTGGGCCACAAGGAAAGGCCTAGGTGGGCCTACCCTGCCCTTCCTCCCTCCAGCTGGCTGGAGATTGTCTCCCGTTTGAGGTCACAGATGTTCAAGTTGGAATCTTGCTCCCTTCCCCCTGAATCTACCATCCTAGGCTGGGCTTCCAGACCAGTGAGCCTTTCCCCACCATGCCTGGCCTGCTTGCAGGGCTCGGGAACTCAGAGTCTCAGTGCCAAGGCTGGGAGCACGAGGTCTTCATAGCTCCAGGCCCAGAGCTATAGCTGGTTTGGGAGTCTGGGTTTGCTCTGTAGGAAGGAGCTGATGATACCGGCCACAAGCTGGGGTTCGTTCATGTGGACATAGTGAGTGCCTGGGACTTCCACAAACTGGAACCGCTGAAAAGGGGAAGGGGCACGTGGTGAGATGTGACCAGAGGTGCCTCGGGAGCTCCACAGGCTCTGAGGTACACTAGGCCCTCCCACGGTCAGTTTCCCCACACTCGGCTCCTTGGATCCCCACCAGTCCACAGCACCCCAGGAGTTGTCCAAGCCCTGGGGACTTGGAGGCCTCGCAGGGGTCTAGGCCAGCTCACTTTTGAAATTGCCTAACAGGGACAGGGAGGGGCGATGACCAGGGTTGCTGTGACTCTATCAGAGGAGGTCCGCTTGAGATAATGAGGTGGGGGTGTGAGCGGCCTGCAGCCTTGTCCCTGCCTTTAAGAACCCAGACTGGAAGGCCTTGCCTGCCTAGGCGCTGACCTGGCAGCTGGCCAGCCACAGGTGGGTTTCCCTTTGTGACAGTGCCTAGAAACCTGCAAAGGCCCCAGGGTCAGGTGTTCATGGGTAGATGACCATGAAACACCAGGTGCTCCCAAGAACCTAGGCAAAAGCCACCCCCACCTACAGCCAGCATGCCCACTGGTGTGATGTGTAAAGGGAGGCAGCAGTCAGGTCTGCTGTGGTTTGGGAGCCTATAAAATGTGAGATAGGCCGGGCATAGTGGCTCCCACTTGTAAAACCAGCACCTCAGGAGGCCAGGGCGGATGGATCACAAGGTCGGAAGTTCATGGCCAACGTGGTAAAACCCCATCTCTACTAAAAAATACAGAGATTAGCCAGGCATGGTAGCATGTGCCTGTAATCCCAGCTACCCAGGAGTCTGAGGCAGGAGAATCGCTGGAACCCGGGAAGCAGAGGCTGCAGTGAGCTACGATCATGCCAGTGCACTCCAGCCTGGGCAACAGAACAAGACTCCATCTCAAAAAAAAACAACTTGGGGGCTGGGTGCAGTGGCTCACATCTGTAATGCCAACACTTTGGGAAGCCAAGGCAGGTGGATCACTTGAGGTCAGAAGTTCAAGACCAGCCTGGCCCTCATGTTAAAAATTCCATCTCTACTAAAAATATAAAAATTAACTGGTTATGGTGGCAGATGCCTGTAATCCTAGCTATTTGGGAGTCTGTGGCAAGAGAATCGCTTGCACTTGGGAGGCAGAAGTTACAGAGAGCTAAGATTGTGTCACTTCACTCCAGGCTGGTGACAGATCGACACTGCCTCCAATAAACAAAAAGTAGGACTATTAGCTGGGATGATAGCATGCACCTGGTAGTCCCAGTTACTCAGGACGCTGAGGTGGGAGGATCATGAGCCCAGGAGTTTGAGACTGCAGTGAGCTACAACTGAGCCACCGCACTCCAGCCTAAGCAACAGAACGAGACCCTGTTTCTCAAAAAAATTAAAAATGTGAGACTGTCTCTGACATTTGGGTCACCGAATTGTGTCTGGCCCGAGGAAGGAGGGGTGGGTACGTAAGGACTATAAGAGATTTGTTTCTGTTAAGTGAAGGTGCTGTGAAAAGAATTTTTAAAAAAAGATTTGTTTCCTGAATTCTGATTATATTTGTGCCCAGGTCTCTAGGGACTGACCACAGTAGAGGGTGATGCCTGATAGCTCCTGGTGGTCACCTGTTGGGCCTGGGGTCAGACCAGGGGTTTTCCCAGTGCAAAAGAAGAGATGGGTGGGGTGGGACCAGAGTGGGTGACAGTGACAGACACCAGCTGCCTGAGCTCCACACCTTACCTCTTTGAGGGTGGATTTCAGTATGCGTGTCATGTACAAGAAGGGCTCCTTGTTAGCGTCATTCTCCCTTCTCACATTGAAATATCCGTGGATTGCTCTGGAAAGTGAAGAGTTGGGGTTATTGGGGTTCATCTTAGAACTGCCTCCCAGCACTGTCCTCATCCTGCCTTGCGTTCAGGCCTCTGAGGAGAAACCAAAGCCTGGGCCGTCCCAACTCCCACAGCTGGGTCCCCTGACCCTAGACTGGATTTGAGGCTCAGTTAGTCTCAGCTCATACTCAGGTGGGACAAGCCAGGGGCAAGCGAATGCTTCAGGTGCACCCTGCAGGGGCACAGGGAGTTGAGAACCTGCCAGTCACAGCCCAGAATAGCAGAGCTGGGATCTCGACAGGCTCTGGAGTCCACACTTGGCTGAGAGAGAATTTACATGTCTTAAAACCCTCCCGCATTCAGCATTGTGAGACCATCATTACAATTACAGAACATTTTCATCACCCCCAAAGAAATCCCAAACCTCTGAGCTTACACACACACACACCCTCCCCACAGGCTTCCAGTCCTGAGCAACCATGAACTGGCTTTTCTCTGCAGTGTGCCCTGGTTTGGACTTTAACATGAATGCAGTCCTACGACATGTAGACATTTATGTCTGACTTCCTAGTGTAGTTTCCAAGGTTCATCCATGCTGCAGCTCATGTCAGTGCTTCACTTCTGCTTAAAAATTGTCTATGGTGGGTCAGGCATGGTGGGTCATGCCTGTAATCCCAGCACTTTGGGAGGCCGAGGTGCTCTGGATATCAAGACCAGCCTGGCCAACATGGTAAAACCCATCTCAACTAAAAATACAAACATTAGCTGGGCGTGGTGGCGGGCACTGGTAGTCCCAGCTATTTGGGAGGTTGAGACAGGACAATCACTTCAATCTAAGAGGTGGAGGCTGCAGTGAGCCAAGATCATGCCACCGCACTCCAGCCTGGGCAACACAGCAAGAGTTCATCTCAAAAAGTCTGTGGTGTGGATGGATCATGTTTTGCTTGCCTGTTTATCCACTGGTGGACATTTGTATCCTCCACCTTTTTAATTTTTTTTTTTTGGGGGACAGGGTCTTGGTCTGTCACCCAGGCTGGAATGCAGTGGTACAATCACAGCTCACTACAACCTCCTGAGTAGTTGGGACCACAGGCATGTGCCACTGCTCCCAGCTAATATTTTTTTTTGTATCTTTTGTAGAGACGGGGGTTTCACCATGTTGCCCAGGCTGTTCTCAAAACTCCTGGGCTCAAGTGATCTGCCCACCTTAGTCTCCCAAAGTGCTGGAATTATAGGCGCGAGCCACCACTGAACGCTTTTTCATCTCCACCATTAGTCTATTACAGAATGCTGCTACAAACATTCGTGTTCAGGTTGTGTGGACATGTTTGCATTTCTCTTACGGATAGACCTAGAAGTGCTGGTCGCATGGTAAGTGTATTCAGTAGCTTGAGAAGCTGCCAGAACAGTTCATAGCCCCACAGCAGTGCGTGAAGTTTCTGACTGCTCCACATCCTTGCCACCCGTTCCCTATTTGGTTCCAGCCATCCCAATGGGGTGAGGTGGTTTCTCGCTGTGGTTTGGATTTGTGTTATTTTATTCTTTGAGATGGAGTCTCACTCTGTCACTCAGGCTGGAGTGCAGTAATGTGATCTCAGCTCACTGCAACCTCTGCCCTGAGTTCAAGCAATTCTCCTGCCTCAGCCTCCCATGTCGCTGGAATTACAGGCACCCACCGTCACACCAGGCTCATTTTTGTATTTTTAGTAGAGATGGGGTTTCACCGTGTTGGCCAGGCGGGTCTTGAACTCCTGACCTCACGTGATCCACCCACCTCAGCCTCCCATAGTGCTGGGGTTACAGGCCTGAGCCACCATGCCTGGCCTGCATTTGTGTTTCTTGAGGTCTGCCCACCTCTGCCTCCTGTGGTCTGGTTATAGAGGCTTACCTGGGCATGCCCCCAGCTGACACCTGTGGAAAGGCGTGGCACAGCCCTGGCCCATCCTCTGCTGCCTGAGCCCTCCCCTCCTTTGACAAAACTTTCTAAGTCCATGACCCTGCTGCCAGGAGGGCTTCCCAAAAAAGATCTCCAGCCTCAGTGGTGTGGTCACCATGCAGAGAACTTGGAGCCACAAGCCAGGACTCCCTCCCGGAGATTCCTGGCACCCATGTCTCTTCTGGACTTACTTCACGAGCAGGACGTGGGCCTGCAGCTTCCTGATGAAGTGCACAAACCACTCCTCGCTGACGAAGTCAAAGCTGAGCTCTGGCTGCAGAGACAAAAGCATGGTGAATTCTCATCACAGGGCATAGGCACTCTCATGGGCCCAAAGCCCGTCTCTGTTGAGGTGGCTAAGCCCTGGTGAGGCCACATTAGCCATCCACCGTGGGACCAAGCCTAGGACCCCAACACAACACCGCCTTGTCGAAGGCTCTTTAGCCTCCCATGGCCAGAGACACCTGCCCTCTTCAAGTCTATTCTCTCCTCTTCCTGGGCTCATGGCTACCCAGCCTATTTCCCATACTCCTTTGCCACCAGGTATGGGCTGTGTGGTTAAAGGCAGAGAAGTGATTTAGGCCACTTTTGGGCCTGGATTTTAGGACTGAAGTGTAGCCTTTCCACACCCCTTTCCCAGTCCATAGGGTGCACCGCACGCTGTCCCCTGCCAGCCAGGGTGGTACCCTTGACTGTGCTAAGCAGAGTGTGAGGCATTGCCAGGAGGAAGAAACCTGCTGGGACCGCAGTGCAGGATCAGTACTCTATGATGGCCCCTGCCAACCTCCTCCATGGTCCTGCCCACCCTGTCTCGTGACTATTTCACGTCTGCATGGCAGGGATGTGGCCAGCTTGAGTGAGATGTGCTACAGGTGTGCCACAAAGCTGGCTTTGGAAAACTCAGCACACAAAATAATGCAATCACGTTTCAGGTTGATTACATCTGAAACAACATCTTAGATGTTAAATAAAAATATGAGAACAGTTGATCGGGCCTGTTTTCTTTTTCGCTTTTTTTTTTTTTTCCCTTTTTGTGGAGAACCAGGTCTCGCTGTATCACCCAGGCAGGTCTCCAACTCCTGGGCTCAAGCTATCCTCCCGCCTCTGTCTCCCTAAGAGCTGGGATTACAGGCATGAGCCACTGTGCGCGGCACTGTTTCAGTACAGCTGCTAGACCATGTCAAGTTTCACCAGGCTCACGCTCTG